ATGGGATGCTGGTAGGCAGTGTTGTAAAAATAGAGTTCTTGGTGTTTTCCTTCGGTCCATCTATGAGTACTACTTACACACCTTTTAATTCTTTCTTTTTTGCATTTGACAGTACATAACCTCTAATAAGACATCTAATTTTCTGCTTTATTAGCCTCATTAGCAGTGCTTGCATATTCATCATGTGCACAAGCAGCAGTTCAAGATCCATCACCACGACAACACTATCAGTTACAGCCACAGTTCCAGATGAGCTACAGTGTGCGCGCGCACGCACACACACACACACACACACACACACACACACACACACACACACACAAAGACCAACAGAAACCAAAGCAGAGCTCATATGAGACCATACGCTTCAGGAGAAATACTCCATACATACTTCATAACGTCCCAGACCGGTCACTGCAATAAAGGTCACACTATGTACAAGACAGACTGCAGACAGACGTCTGTGAAGTCTTCAGGGACCGGCCTATAAATGTTTGATGACAGCTCTCTCTGAGTATCACTAACATACTGAACCAGAGCATCTCTCTGAAAGTGAGACTCCTAGCCTATTTTCTACATTTAAGTTGTAAAAGCAACACTCAAATGTTAAGTTAAATATTATGCATTTGAGAGTACATTATCTCAGACTGACACAATGTATATTGTCTCAGACATAACTAGCCTCAGTAATGGAGCCTTCATCAAAAAAACAAAAAACAAAAAGGTATCAGTAGATAATAACACGCAATATCAGTAATACACATTTCGATTAGTACACACTGTAAAAACATGATTTACAAAATTTATAGATAAAGCAAATATTATTAAGAGTATGTTTTACCAAAAAATACTGTTTCAGTCTTTCTACAAAAAAAAAACTTTTTGTACTTCAAAATTTCATGATTAATTATGTGTGTTACTTGCCATTTCTATGTAATTATTAGTAAAAAAAATTTAGAGAAAATTGTTTCAAAATAATTTTAGTGCAGATGGAATGATATTTGTCTGATTTTTGGCCATTCTGAGAATGTCTGGATCTGCTAAAAACAGAAATTGAAATTATTTTTGCATTATTTCCACAGTTCTAGATTAGAGCGTAGACCCTCTCTTTTATTTATTTATTTATTTGTTTGTTTGTGTAAATATTGTTTAAAATATTTGCAAAAACAATTATGTATAAAATATTTATTATATATTTTAATTTAATTTATAATATATATTCAGTGCAGATGGACTGATATTTGGCCTTTCTGGGAATATCAGCATCTGCTGAAAACAGAAATGGAAGATATTTTGCATTATTTTCACAGTTTCAAAATGTACAGACAGTTGTGTAAATATATTGTGTAAACATTTTTGTACATATTGTGTAAAATATATTTTTAATGTAACAATTATTAATTTGCTACCATTAAATTATATATATTTTATATACTATATATACTATATTTTACAGTGTGTGTGTGTGTGTGTGTGTGTGTGTATATATATATATATACATATACATACATACATATCACACGAATTTTCATATCTTGGTTTTGATATAGTGGATATTGCCAATTATTCCTGCTTCTTCACTATGCACGTTTAGAGATAAACTCAAGTTGCGCGCGCGTACACACACAAAGGCATGCATGTACGCCTGTAGTTTAATATCTGGGTGTGTAACACTCATAGTAGGCAACGAATCGTTCGATAATCGCACTTCAGCTGAAGGATTTATCTGAACATCCTATCGGCTCGATAGGGGACCCTAGTAACAAGAGGGGCGGGGCTTCGTGTTCCAGAGGCAGGACCGCAGCTCAGCTCGCGCTGCCTCCAAATCAACTCAATCATCTCTCGCGCACGAGAGCGCGTGCTGCCTTTCAGGTAAGAAATCCTGATATTTCCCTTTTTCTTATTTGCAAATGAGCCGTTTTGAGGCATCGCACGTGTAGTTCCTCTTTCGCTCTGAGTTCAAGCCGCTTTGGTGTTGATTTATGGTGGACATGTTATGATGGAGCCGAATGAATGGGCGGTGTTGAGTCTCGTGCGGCGTGATGTTTGAATTCTGCAATCTGTCAGTGAATTTGAAGCCAGTAATTTATTCTTTCTCGCATGTGAATGGATTTACCGTGCGTATTGATAATCTGTCATAATTTCGCCTGTTGACATTTTTAAATATGTTATTCTCGTAAAGATAATTTCAGCTATTCTCAGTGGATGTAGAGTTGCTTGACACAGTTTTACCTTTTCTGGATATATTGTTGGAAGTCACGCAGATTTTGGGTTGGTATTGACATCGAGGAACGGGGTCGCGTAGCCTCTCTCTCCCAGATGATGGATGGATGTCTTTGGAAATGATATAGCCTACGGCCTATTTACATGCAAGGTGCCAACGCAAGCTGTTTGCAAAAGACTTAAATGTAGCGATGTGAACGAACCCTTTTTTTATTCGGATCTTTTCATTGAACCGGTTCACAAAACTGGTCTGAAAGAATCGGTCCCAGCGCCTCTTGAGTCAACAACTCGGCGACTTACTGAACCCAGGACCGTGATTGACTTTGAAATAGAATAGCATATTGTTGTTATTATTTATGCCATATATTTACTGTACATCACATAAATACTAAGAGTAGTACCTTAGCCTTACGTTCCGTTCGAATTCATGGCGTTTTCCTCGAACATGACCGAGTCGCAGTGATCCGAGTTAACTACTCACTGACTGTTTAACAGAACCTTTTGATTCGAGCACATTCGATTCGTAATGAGTCGAAAACTGCTGAGCAAGCTGATTGGGTAAGAGCATTTTGGAGGGAACCCAGAATTTGACTGATTGGGCGAAACTTAAGTTGCTTTAATTGCTGAATAAAAGAAATGTTAGGCTTACTAATAAAACATATAAGCACACAAATCTAGTTTTAATAAAAGGTGTTTCAAAAAACTATTTTATTCAAGATGTGGATTAATTGTGTTTTTAATGAATTTGCAAGTATATTTGGGGTTTAAAAGATTAAATTTTTATGATCTGAATCAGGGTGTTTAAATATTTTCTTTTATTTTCATCCTCATGCCAGGGAACACGTAATAACATTTAAAAGGCAGTTATGTATTTTCATGTCAAAAGACCCAATTTATACTGTGAAAAAATGTATATGATTTATAAAATATTTTAAGTATATTTAAGTATTTAGCTTCCATTGTTACATTAATATTGTTTCTACTCACTATATTAATTTAGATGTTTGTTTGTTTATTATTTTATTGTAATGAATTTATTTATATAGTTCTGTTTTTTATTTTATCAACCTATTTTAGTTCTACTCACTATAGTACTGTACTGTTTGATGTATTATTTATTTATTTAGTTTATGTAGTTTAATTTATTTTATTCTTTACACTTTTTACACATTTTTTCGCTAAACTTCATCTAAACCAAACTGAAAACAAACTGAACAAATGAAATGATAATAAATAACATTATTAATAAAAGTAATAAAATAATAAATAATAAAATACGGAAAAATCCCAACTTAATTCAGTGTAGTTATGATCTACATATATGTACATATTTCAAAATTACATATTCAGGGATTTTTTGACTATAGTAAAATAATAGGCCACACCCTTGATATTTCATCTGCTTCAAGCAGCCATGTTGAATTAAAAAAAGACTATATGTGATATGATGAATTTGGTAGGTTTTAATTGTTTATGTAATATCCGTGATGGAATGCGTGTTTTGAAGCTGTACTGTAGTATCTAGAACATGGCTTGTGGTAATTTGTAGATTAATTGTAACTGCCGTTATATTAAACTGTCATATTAGTCCAATAGCTGCTTGATTGCAAGAGCATTATAACAAACATTGTTGTGATAAGCTAAGGAAAGCTAGGCAGGTAACAAATCTATCACGAGATGATGCATTGAACCCTGACTACAAAATGCATTCTTGCCTACAACATATGTATTCATGTTTGCTTTAGAGTAACACGCACCTCTGTTTTTCAGCAAGCAATATCAAAGCATCACACGCTATATGCACTTTAATGGCAGTCTTCTCGACTGTTAATAGCTTGAAATGGATTATTGTCTTAGGTACTCACATATAAATGGATATATGGACTGTGTGGAAGTCATATCCATATAAGGCAGTTCAGGCTCTTTGAAGAAATTTTTTCTCCAGTGCAGCGCCACACCCCTTGGAATCCGTACTGTACTTCAAAGACATGACAGCTCACAATGAATGAATGCGTTATGTTAGAGTGGTGAATATTAGTATATAAGAGACTGAACTAGCAAAGATGATCATGTTTTCCTATTTGGCATAATCAGTTTAAGCCAGATCAATAGATCTGGATTTGATCATTTGGTGCGATCAATACAGTTTAAATGTAATGAAGTGCATTTCATTTCTTTGCCACCACTATCACGTGCACATGAGCGGAGTTATGTGAGGCAGGATGGCGCATGCAGTGTGACTGTGACACAAATAATATGCACTTTGACATAGTTTTAACAATCTCAATCAATCATGCCCTTGTTTCTACCAGCTTAGTTGCTTTTATAAAACAATTAAGTTTGTGTTGACCTGGAATGCATTAACTTTTGCATTTATTTAGCATAAATTGCATTGCAGTTTTTTGAATCTGTGTCAGATGATACACTGAGGGAGGCTGCCGTCACTACTGCAAGGAAAAGGAAATTAGCACTGCTGTTTGACAGGAAAAAGGAATGTTTCTGTATGCGCTGGATTAGTCACAGTCATATAAGGTCAAGCTGCTGAACTTTTAATATTATATTTTGTTCTTAAGGAGACACATGGATTTTTATGTAATTATATATATATATATATATATATTGTATAATTTATATGTTTATGACTTATGATTGATATATAATTTCTAAGTAATAGTGGATGCAATATTTATTCAGATTGATTGTTATCAGATTTGAACAGATCTTTATTTCTTGAATGATTCTTACAGGAAAAGTTCACCCAAATTAAATTAAATTAATTTATTTACATTTTTGGTATTGGCTGATATTGGATATTTCATTGTTCACGCTCATTTCTCCTACTTTTACATTTAGAATACCTTTGCATCATCTAACATTAACTAAGATAATCTTAAATAACACTTATAATGTAATTAGTTAACACTGATAATTAATGTAATCTTTAGAAAATCTCAAAATTAATAGAATTTTTCAGACAGTACTTAGCTTTTAAAATTATTATTTCATTTTTTCACGTTTTATTTTTACTTTATTCATAAAAAATAAAGAAATTAATTTAAATGTTGGCCATAACATGAAAATAATCATTGTCCTATCAGTATCAGCCATCATTTTAATATCAATTCATCCATGAATGAGATTGATATTTCTGAGATGGTCCTCACTGCAGAACACAAGATCCAGGAGGCGTGGTTGGATCCAGATCCAACTCCTCCCACCGTACATATACCTACCTGTCTCCACCCCCTGATCCCTAAACCCACCCATCTCTCCACCTCTAAACCTACTCATCTCCACCCCCTAGATGTGGATCCAACCACGCCCTCTGGATCTTGTGTTCTGCAGTGAGGAGCTACTGATATTTTTGGGCACATTATTCCTTTAAACAGTCTAATTTGGTTGCTTCCTTCTGATTCATGAAGTCTGACCGGTGGAAAGGCCTCTGGTACTCTGACTTGACCTGACACAAGAGAAAGGATGTGTTTTTGTGATGAAAGGGCACGATGGGAATTAAAATGCATGATTAATGGACAGAGAGCTTGATGGTAAAGGTTATTGCTCATTATGTGTATTGATTATGTTCAGCCTCTTTTTTTCAGAGGGGTATTTTAAAGATGTAGTGAGCATCAATGTATCTTGGAAAAAACAAAAACAAGTTTCCTATTATTTATATCTCTCAGAATTGCTTGTATGACCACATCGAATGTGTGATTGTGTATCTAGAGTATAGATTGTTCAATTACATCCATATTCTTGCTGTTGGTTTTCAAAAACTGGTCAATTTGCCAAGTGAATTGTATGAAATCATGCTTGAAATTATAGTTGGCCATGCTCTTTGCATTAAACTGAAATCTTATTCAAGTTGTGAAACTGTAAAAAATTGTTTCCATATCATCGGGGAGGAGAAAATACAGCTAACACCTGCTTTCCTCTGGCTGTATATCCCATATGTGAGGTTATAATTAGCTCTCCCTCTAAGTGTCACAATCTGGGATGCAGCTTTTTGCTTGCCAGCTACATCTGATAAAATCCACGGCACCAGTGACACCACACGCAGAGGACAAAACGAGAATAAAATGGAGGAAGAAACAATCAGCTGAAAATGTACATTCATGTCAGGAAGGCTGGCTTTGACTCTTGATGATCCAAAAAACAAATACCGTATTGGCCCGAATATAAGACGACCCCCCTTTTTCCAGATGTACCTTTTGGAAAAAGGCTTTTTAAAAACCAAATCTTGTTTTTTCTCAGTAAAACACATTTTGTCTTCAATTATTTTCATATATTGCATATTTTTCCTATTTTAATTTTTGTTTTGAAAGTATGGTAAAAACTGGTAAAATGTACCAACAATCACATTGGTCCCATCATGCTAACGTGACAGTCAGGATTCATGCAGCTGTAAGGTTTTCTTTTTCTTTTGTTTTTACTGGCGATCTTTACAACACGCATTACATTACGTATTTCATGGCACACTCGTTTTATGCGTATTTGGCGCCACCTATTGTTGTGGGTGTATTATTGACATGTCAAAGTCTAGACCCTGAATATAAGATGACCGCGTTTTTTCAGATGTATTTCCAAGAAAAAAACATCGTCTTATATTCGGGTCAATATGGTAAAAAGAAATATTTCATACAAGATGCCGC